TTGTATGTGACTTCACTCATCTGCTTACAGCATATCACTTATCCCGGTGGTATTCTGAAGTCTCCCTGGAAGGGTTCCCATACACCCATTCATTTTTTATCTTAAAAGAATAGTAATTAAGGTATCCACTTACTAACATGTAGAATTATGACATTATTTTTTTCTTTTACTGCCTTCTTAAGCTCACCAACAGCTGCAGAAGTGCTAATTTTTGATGTAAGACTGAAATAATAAAATCGATTTGGTTGACAGTGGGAAGAAAACAGTGTCCTGTGGTTCATTATTAAAAGACTGGACTTCAGAAGGGGATGGAAGAACTAAATTAAATTGCCATATAAATAAGGCTCACATATTCACATAGTCATGTAATGATGTATATACAATAAAGATGGCATGATTTTACTGTAATGTACTCAGCTACAGATAATATGTGCTCATCTGGTTGAATTAGTGTAAGACCCCTGCTTGACTCCCTCCCCTGACCACTGTTGTTGCCAAAGTACATTGTGATTAATGTGCCCTTCAGCAAATGAGATCGGCTCTGTCTGATTATATTAGTTCCTGTTCATTGGAGTAACTGAGCATCAATCACGTTCTAATCAGAGCTCACGTACATTGATTTTTTTTGTAAACAGCCTCGCCATCAGGTTCTATCATAGCTTAGATTAACTCCTTAGTAATGACAAAAATTAATATTTTCAGCTAAACAATAAATACGCTTTCATTTTTACCTGAATAATCCTGCCACTTAAAGTTGTCGTAGCTTTTAAGTCTGCAAATGAGAAAATGCTGAGAATTGCAGTTACTTCTCTTATGTATATGTACTGAAAATATAAATACTGTCCTGCAGCAGTTCTTGAGAGTGTCAATTTTTAGTTGGCATTGCTTACCTTCAGCAGTAGTCCTTTTAAAAAAAAAAAAATACCAAAAGGATCAAACTAAGTCACCTTACTATTCAAATGAACTGTTCTTTAAGAATTACCGGTGCCCAAACATAATTTAACTTACAGTAATAATTTTAAAAAACCTTGGAGTTTGTAGCAAAACAATACAATACTTGTTGTTCTTCCGTGCCAAATTTAGGCAGGGATCAGCATTTTCCAAGAAATGCTTTAATTCTGGTATTTCTAATAGGACCAGACTCAAGCAGTAACCAGTCTACTGAGATAATCCTCTGCTAAAACATCCATTCATGCATGGATTTGAGAGGTTCAGAAAAAACATCACAAACTTTGATCTTTCTTTAAAACTTCTGAGTTTTATCCCCATTTTCTAACCATATCAAAGTCATTTCTACAACAGCTGGTGCCCAAGTTGCCATCACAGCAATCTGGGAAGCAAAAAAGCAGTCCAAAGAGAAGATGCCCCTTGCACCATGTACAGCACTACACTTTATCTTTACTTGTGGAACACAGGACTGAAAGAGACCTTGTTCTGCACTTCCAAGTTCAGAAGCTTGTAATTTTAACCCATGTCTCATATAATTGCTTTCACACATTTCCTGAAAACCATCACCAAAACTGGGCTTCTTACATCTCCACCGCCCAGGCTGCAAAGACTGCTCCACACTGTCATTCTGGACAGGTAAGAACCACCTCTAATTCCCAGGCTATAATTACCTGTTGTCACTCAATACCTGTTTGCTGTTGTGTCATTCTCACTCACATTTAGCTTCGTTGATCCTCTTCCTCCCTTTGTTTATCTCCTTGAAATACTTACTAGAAGCAAGGATAATCTTGGCTTCTCTTTCGCTAAGCTGATCTAAACCAAAGTCCTGCCCTCTCCTCTCTTTAGAGAAGCTGTCCATTTGCCTGATTACTTCATCCACCTTGGAGATGAGAGACAAGAAATGTGTAGCTGCAGTCCAAAGGTCTTTGAGCAAGACTCTAACATAATGTCACTGCTTCTCCTTTCTCTGCTGGATATCCCAGTCTTGCTCATTCAAGAATCTTATTTGCATTTTTCACAGCTGCCCCACAACTCTTTTTCACAGTCCTCGCCCAGTCCAGGGGCGGCAGTCCTGCTTCAAATACAGTGAGACAGACTGTTTTTCTCTTCCCAAAAGAGAAGCTAAGTGAGCTGAAGGCACAGTTCCAAGCTCTCAGTGTGTGCCAAACTTTTGCCTATTGGCTCCTAGCTCTGCTGAGCCAGGAGTTGCTGTGTGCCGTTCAAAATTGGCTCCTGTGCTCTCCTTCACATGCATTTTGTAGACTACTAATCCCTTCCTCAGTCACCAGCATATGAATATCCCTCTGTGGTTTTTTCCAACTGATAAGATGAACGTTTGTGTTTTCTTTCAACTAAAATCCTCACTTCGCAGTATACTCTCGGATTTCACCCACTTTATTATTCCAGTCCTCTCGGCTGCTCAGTTCTTCCTGTACAATATTCCTTCTCCCCAAAGCCCTGCCACCATTTGCTAACATGATGCATTAGCACACTGCATCCTCGCTCACACTCTTTGCCCTGCTGTGCCAATATTTCTCATTCAAATATTCAACAAGATATTACATCCAAGATAAAAAACAAGGACCCCTCCTTCAATGCATCAGGAAAGGGACCATGCTGATGGAATCAGGATCAGAAGAAACTGTCATTTGGCACCAGTTTGCAGAGAAACAGTGGGTGCCCATGACTGCCTTCCCTTGTTCCCCGTTTCCAGTAAATAAACTGAATTTCTGAGGCAGCTCATGTGTAAATACAGGATCAAATAAGCTTTCATAGTGTGTTGGTGGGGCTGTATGAGTTGGCATCATTTTAAAATTTTGCAGCCTACTTATGACTTTGGTGAAAACAGACATTATTTAAAGCTTTTTCCCCTCTAGGGCATGTATCAAGATTTAACACGGTACACATCATGTCAAAGGAGGTCAGAGACACAACTGTACCAATATCCAAACACCTTTTACCAACATGAACACTGGTATGTGAAGAAGTAAACTGATGTGCAAAACAACCATGTGGTAACACGGTACTTTCTGACTGTTCCTCATCATATGGGAGCTCTTTTGCTAAATGAGGACAGCGACAGACATAAGGACAGATTACCTGTCTGACCCATTCCACGCACATTCAAACTTGTCAAAGATGCAGTCATTTTCATAGAGGGAACACAACTTGCTTCTAAGGTAATCATGGACCTGTTTTAAAAAAATAACTGTTGTTATTCTTGAAATAAAACGAAATATGAAAGTCCATAACCAGCCCCCCACTCTCTGCTTTATCTCCCACGTTCAGTTTCAAAATATGCTGCACAGATTGGTAGCTTTGCAGAAGATACTGTGTTTAAACTCTGAAGAAGCTATCTGTACTTTTCCACAGCCCAATTAACCAGGCGGTACAGAATTATTGTTGCAGGAAGGCATGAAGCATACCTCCCTCAGCAGGCTGCAGACCCCCTCTCTTCAACATATTTGTTTCCAGCTTGGGTGATTTTCTCAGTGCTAGCCTAATTCCCAAAGACATTTCACCAGCTGATACCCTAGAAATGCTAATTAATGTGCAAGAAAACCAATTTAAATAGTAACAAAAATGTCATATTCCAAGATAAGTGGACTCTCACTTGTGGCAGAAGGAATCTGGCTCTATTAAAAGAACCTGTATACATGGTATCACATATATTTGGTAAGGTATTTCAGAAGCCAAATACAGTTCGAGGTTGTCATTGCACAGGCTGCAAATTACCACACAAATTTAGTCCAAGAATATTTATTTGGCTGAGACTTACTTAAACACAAACATTGTATATTCTCACTTACATACTTGGAAAGTGGGACTAACTGGCAGAAGACCTCTCCTCTGGGCCACACATCTCTGCCGAACAAGGGTTATCATAGAGACAAATCTCATGCAAACCATTTCAGTCCTTTGCTGAATTTGATTAGTTTTCCTTCTGGATGATTGGTTTCATTCTGCATGGAAATAATGAGCTAGAAAATCCCTGCCTAGATGAATTTACTAAAGCACTTTCACTCCTGATGTTTTCTTCCAGCTGTTGTAGAAACTGTAGATGGCGTCTTGGAGCACACATACCAAGCCAATAACTGAAGGGCTTAATTTAGTTCTGGCATACAGAAGTGCTGGTTCTTGCAAGTCCAGGGAGACTGCTCCGGCTCATGGATGCTCAGCAATATAACTCTATCAAGACGAGGCACAGTGACCTTTCACTTGTATTTTCTTTAAGCTAATCCATTTTCAATAGTCAAATTGTACAGTATCCTTAGAATATTTATAACAAAGTTATTGATGATTATAAATTGTAGTTATGGATCAATTTTCATTAATCGTGTGAACACTGAAATGTATATCAATAGATAAAGTCTTATACAACAAATAACAGGCAAATGGTAGATGCAGATAAAACATTTCATGATTAAATGCATTTACCCTCACGGTGAGTAATAGGTCAGAACGCTTCCAGTACTGATGGAGGAGAAGGAAAGAGATTGCATTTGCCTCATTGACTGTCATTTCTAGGTCTCCCTCGCGTTACCGTTTCCAGCAGCCATCTGTCATGACCACAGTCATGCACACACCCTTTGCGAAGTGTGTCCAACTCCCCAGCTTGGATCTGTGCCTTTCTATCAGCTCTGTCAAAAACCAATTTGCAGTTCATTTCTCAGATTTCTTCCTGATCTCTTCAAGGTCTCAGCTCCTTTGTCTTGGCTGACTGGCTGCAGACTTGATCTACTGCGTTGGACAACCAGCTTGCTCTTTCTACAGACCCTTTGATTTGACCACATTCAGACCCTCAGAATGACTTTGAAAAACTAATTGGAAGAAACAGTTCATTTTCACCTTGTTTGCATGTTCATCTGCCACTACCAACAGAGGGTAAAATTAGATTTGCCTTGTCTGTTACATGCCATATGTATGAATAGTACTTGAAGGCAACCCAAATTCATTCCCAACTAACTACAAAAGGCATTCTTGTTTTCTTCACTGCACTGTTTTAGGTCAGATCTTCATGGAATTATCTAGTAATTCCATGCTCAGCATAACAACATGACTACATAGGGAGCTCTCCCATGAGGACTGAACAGTCACAATCAAGAACTGCACTGGTAAGTGACACAGCAGTCCAAATCCCCTGCAACAGACTCTGCCAAAAGTGGATCAAGCTATTATCAGCAATGAATGTGTTCACCTTTGGTTGCTGCTGGTACGGTTCTGCCAGCTTAATTCACCTGGCAGCATCAGAAGAGTATCCAGTTAGGCAGGGCTGCCTCACAATATCCAAGCACTGGCCATTTCACTGTGAATGCTGAATCATTGTCAGCAGATAATGTGTTTCAGCAAGGCTGTGACAGCTGCTCTATGGAGCATTTTTTAGCCACAGCACTGATAAGAAAAAGGGCTCGCATGAAGAATTTGATTTTTATCATGATACTAAAATTGTAACCCGATAAGAAGCAGTACAGTTACAGACTTTGCTCTTTCTTATAACCCTGTGGGGAAATCTGCTGTCATCCTCTTCATAAGTCTCACAGCTAGACAATATCTGGGCACTACCATGCAGCGGATGAACTGAGAAATTCATTCTTCTAATGAATATATTTTAATCTTTTAATGATATACATGTCATCAAAATTATGTGGATACATAACTGAAAATGTTAGGTTTACTTGTTGCCTTCAGGTGATCCACTATAAAAAACTTTTTGCGAGATTTCCAAGTGTCTATATGAGATTTATGTATGTGGGAGAGACCTCTAAGACAAATTACTTAAAAGTGTTTTAAAGCATTTTTTCTTAAAAAGAAGATTCCCTAATCTCTGCAGTTGAAAAACATGAAAGGTTGCCCAGAGTAGATCGACTGTATGAATTCTGTGAAGTTCTGTACTATTGGCTTCCTAAAGCCTGTGAGTTCCAGAGTCTTCTTTAGTCCATTGCAACACTCACCAATGCATCTGCATACTCTTTATATGGCACTACGTAACTATTTGAAAATGAAAGGCAATCCTGGCTTGACCAGCTATTCGTCTCCAGAGACAAGGATGCCTACTTAGTTAGCACAAGTATAAAATATTACCTAAGTTCCCCAAATCTGAGATATGATTCTGTTATATAAAACACAGTCTCGTCCTTACCCTCCCACTCTATTTTCACAGCATATCAACATTTCTCACACATTTAGAATTACAAGTACTGCCATTTTCAGAGCAAAACCAATTCTGGAGTTTTAAAGCTGTACAGGCTGAGACTTTCCAATACTAACAGGAAACACACTGAAAAATATTCACCAAAATGTAATGGGTGCACTGGGAAACATTGGGGCCTGCTTCATCTACTGAGGATTAGCTAATAAATATTATCAATGTAACATTATCGATGTAATATTTTGGTTGTTTTGACAGGACGCACTACGAAAACTCCCATTACATGGTATTTAAAAACCAATTTTAATTATCCTTACCATGAACTACTGTACTCCACCTGCCGTTATACAGATAGAGAAAACAAGGGATTGGGCCAGCACTGTCGCAGGACTGTCTCTAAGGAAGTGGTATGAGCCAGATTAATGACATTTTTCCTACTTTGCATACTCTTCTGTAGGTAGCTTAACAGTTTGCTCTCATTACATTTTTGTAACAAGCAGTTTCTGTGTCACAGACATATTTTTCTTCTTCAAGGCAGACTCAAAAAATGTAAGCTCAGCCCTCCACTGCCAAATAGAACAGATGTCAGAGTACAAACTCAGCGCTGGCTGGAGCCACTGGCATTTTGTCTGGATAATATCGCAATGAATTCAGGCAACCAGATGTGTCTGCCTGGCATTCGCTAACTGCTGTGTCAGTGTGGTGATGTCAGGGTTTAAAACAATGATCGTTCCAAGAACTAGGCACAAGGGAGAAATGCTTAGATGAATTTTTAAAAAAAGTTCTGAAATGACAGAGGTATAAACTCTAAGCAGTCCCAGTGGGAGCAGAATGCTAAGCAACACACAATATCCTTTCCTCAGTTTCTTTTAAATGTTAATAGGGAAATATATCATTTGAAAATAGTGCCAAAGTGAAGAGATTATTTCCCTCATTAGAATCATCCAACCCCCAGTGAGTGTTACTCCGACTCCCCAGGCCTTACACATGCTTACTAATGCTGAAATTGCCCTTTTCCAACTACAAGGATGCCACTGTGAGGATTTTAGCCACCTTGATTTTTAGGACAAGGAGCAATGGATTTAAATTGAAGGAGAATAGGTTTAGATTGGGTCTTAGGAAGAAATGCTTCAATATGAGGGTGGCAAGACTCTTGCCCAGAGAGGTTGTGGATGCCCCCTCCCTGGAGATGTTCAAGGCCAGGTTGGATGAGGCCTTGAGAAACGTGATCTAGTTAAGGGCATCCTTGCCCATGGCAGGGAGGCTGCATTAGATGATCTCTGAGGTCCCTTCCAACCTAAGACATTCTATGATTCTATGATTAGCAGCATTCTTAGCTAGCTGCTTCTCAAACTAAGCAACGAGAAGTTTAAGAAAACACTCTGTTTTTGAAAGTGAGATGCTTCTATATGGTTGCATTTCAAGACATAGGAGATACCTACCTGGTATGTTTCTACAGGCTTTGTTTCCATGTTCAGATCCCAAACCTTGACAGTGAGGTAATCTCTTGTTAGCATGTATCTACCGCTGTGACTGAATTTGACATCTGACACTGAAGAGATAATTTCTGAAAAAAATGATCTGTTACTGGGGTCTTCTGGTTCTTCATAAACTGTTCAAAGGAAAAAAAAAACAGTAGAGAAATTAGAAGTCTATAAATAAAAATGTTCTGTTGCTCAATCTGAACTGTGCATTTCTTATGAAACATGTAATTCAATGTACCAGGGAACATGATATAGAATTAATTATATGCACAACACTTAATTTATTCTTCTTTCTTTCTATAAAAATAAAAACTGAAAGCCTTAAATATTTCAATAAGTCATCTTATAGCTATGGGCCCAAAGCATCACTTTGAGAAATTATGTAAATACACCAGTCAGTTGACTACAGCAACCTACAGCAAGGCAGTTCCTCTATGGTCATCCTTTCCAGGGTCCACGTCCTGTTTCCTGACACAACCAAAATTCACGTGTCCCTGTCACAGGAAAAAATGTACGTGTGGTCTCACAACAGTCTTGGCATCCCCTAGAAGGGTGGTTACTCAAAGTCTGCCCTGGTTGCCAGAACCAGCTGGCCAGTCTGCAGGCTGCTCACTGGTCATGTTTGAAGGCATTTGAGACTGAACACAAGAATTTTGAAAAGCAATTGCAAATTGCAATTACTTCTTCCCATGAGGTGAGCAGAAAATAGGCAGTGATTTACCATAGGGCTACATGGGCTACTTAGTTGACGTGCAATTGCTGACAGTCCTGGAAATCACTAAACCGACTGTATGTGTTGGTCAGCTGTTTTGCGTGCTGCACGATCCAAGGAGGCAGGGGATCACGGAATATTGCTCACAGTACCTTCACACAGGGAAATCCAGCTCTTGTAGCTAGGAGAGTGGTCATCCTTGCTCAGCTGTACACAATAATGGCACTGGATGACTCACACTGAATTGCAGGACCTTGAAACAACTGGTATTAGTAGGCTCTGCTTCATCTGTTACAAGTCCCTAATCACCAAGGTCTCTTCATCCTTCCCTAGAAATCTTGCACTGGTTCTAGCCCTGCCTACCAGGTGCCTAGAGAAACTCTGTTGTCTACCTGTAGGTATCTGTGGCCCTGTAATCCAAACGACCTCAAATGGTGAACTTCAGTAGAAAGTCACGGTCTTTCAGTTCTCAGCAAAATCAGTAAAGTTTTGACACCTACATCTAGAATATTCTTTGAAAATTGGCAGCTTAGTAAGTGTCGTTTTCAAGTTTCAAAAGCAGGTGAAGAAAAGCCATGTGATGAGACACGAAAATGTGCTGAAAGTAGAACAACTTTTTACTGTCAGTCAAAACAGATTTTCTTTTGTGTAATCCACTGGTTTATTTCTCTCTCAATTAATTGATCTATGTCTATGATTCAGACTGTTGAAAGCAACAAGGTTACTGTTTCCATCAGGTGAAATAATGTTCTGCTGAAAGTTAAGGGTGAGTGTGTGGGTGAAGTATGTGGGGTAATGCAAAAAATTATGGGCAATTTTCTTTGGGGGTGGGCAGTGGAATACAGCCAGGCATGCACATGAGAATAAGGTCTATATTTGAACATGTATCATACATCTAAATGGTAATGAACTGCTTCAAAAAAGGGGGAAAAACTTTTCAGACAGACTGTAAATGAACAACTTTAAATAGCTCTTCAAAAATTTGCCTAGACATTCTGCAAAGCAGGTATTTTGTAATTATCCTGTCAGATTTTCAATAGAAGTCTGACGAGCACAAAGCAATTATCATTTCTCATACCTCTTCCCTTTAATCTGTCCAAACTATGTACTTGGCTGGCAGAAATTTCATCCTCCTAATTATGATGTGAAGTTGCTATTAAAACCGGGGGTGGAACCAACAAAAACCTCACACTAACTGAACTACACCTTCATTTATAGCTGAGATATATTTTCTTGGCTCTGTGGGTCTCATCCAACTAGATACTTTGTATTTTGTTAATTAATGAGATTAAACCATTTCATCCTTTATCTCTCCTGTTTATTGCTTTGCTATCCTTACCATAGTAAGCATTAGAAAGACTTAGATTAATTAACTGCAGAAACTAATGCAGGCATGAATGCCTCCTATCACTACAGAAAGATAGTGGTAGCAGCAATTCTTTGCATCTAGTTCCTATATTCAGCATAACCAAGCCAGGAAAATTGTTAGAGGAAATTAAGCAACAGCTCTAAGTGCTACAGACAAAGCTTAGCGACTAACAGCATATGCCTGAGCAACCAGAATGAGGCATTGGCCTCAGGAAATGCAGGTGGGAGACAGTGTTCCTGGGTCTCAGCTATTTCTGGTTTAGCACCAACATAAGGTTATGCAGACGCTGTAAAAAAAGCACAGTCCTCACTCAGTTCGGCTAATGTGAACTGAGTAACTGGAGACAGAAAACCAGTGACAGCCGTGTGACTCGGACTACAGTTCAGGCAAGCAGTTCAAATTCAAGCTGATGAGAGAAAACATGGTGCTAGCACTGGAGGTACATTTTATGTTCAGTATAGTTTAGGCTTAGCTTTTGGAGGCCTCTCTTATGCCCAGGGCCAGTCAGCACCCAAAACATGAGACTTCAAATATAGTTTACTTTTCTGTATCTAAATAAACCTCACTAGACCAGGACTTGAAATCAGAACTTTATTGAGATTCAATTACAAATTCTATTCTATTGTTTGATCAATTTCTTGATTAACTTCTTAATAACTCATTTTTGCCATGAAAAAGGGTATTTAACTTCCATTAATACTGTTCTTGATAACCTTCACAGTGCTAATTATATGAAACACACAACGCTACCTGTCTAGCTGCAAATTAATGAGCATAGGAATCACAAATGGTGTGGTGTGCTGAGCTTTCACATGACACTTCTCAGACTTAAACGTGACCTTGATGACAGGACTGTGGAATAGAGAAATATCACGGGATTACAGATGGGAAGCTGAATGTATCTCTGAGTACAGCCAGTACTGGAGAGGAGCCTCCAAGGAAGATGCCATTGCTGTCCCTTACTCTACTGGCAAACTGGGGTAAACTGGGACGTTTGCTTAGGGAATTAAAGATGCTCAATCCCTTTCTAGAAAGCTTCCAGCTCACAAGTTAAAAAACAGTGTAGCTTTTCACAGAAGTAAGTCTTGACTTCAGAGAGAAGGATGGGTTGGACGAAGGATACTTGCCAGAGCACTGTTTTCCTGAATCCTGAAGAAAATCTGCAGCATAAAAATATGCTGCTGCTTTCTCAAAAGGAACTGCCATCTGCTGAAAAACAAACTCTCATCTTGCATAAAAAAAATTAAATTCTCTGTATTCCTTGACTCTCTGATCTAATGTAGACATGGAGACTCTCTTTAGAGTCAGTGTATAGAAAAGGCATCTCTAAAGTGTATATTTATCATGTAGAAATATATGCTGACATATAAAGCAAAGAGCTAGAGTAGGTGGGAAGGTCTATCTCACTCAGCTTCCTTTCCAGACACTGCCCAAAAGAAACAGACACCTGGGGCAGTGGTTAAAAAGAGTGTGGTGGATGCACTTCCCACTAACAGCCTTGGGGCTCTCGTCAAGCACTCTGGGTGTCACACGTGCTGCCATGGCAACTTCACACTTATTTTAGTATGAGACTGATGCCACAAACTTGCTATATATTTTGGACAAGACATATACAATTAAAAAAAACCCCAAAAAACGAAACCCCAAACTAATCTTCAGGTTCAATTCTAAACAAGAACAAATGCTGACAAAAATTAGGGCTACGCATGTGAATGCAAACTTCCTAACACATCTTGTTTTTTATTTTTACATTAATTGCAAAAAATGTCTGATAATGTGTAGACTGGAATGTCTTGCTCAGCTCAACACAGACCACCCAAACTGAACGGGGCATGAGGTGTGAGTGCTTTGAAACCCCACTGTAATCGTCTGGAGAGAGACCTGGCAGTCACTGATGTTGCCTTTCTCTTCAGCTTCACCAGCCACCTTTCACTGCTCTATGGTATTCCAGATTCCTAAACATGTAATCATGACAGAGGGATACCAAACAGCTAGCAACACAGGGAAGTGGTAAATCAAACAGCACTACTGTGTGCGCTCCACTGAAAAGTGGTGAGTAGATGGTAACTAACCACTACCCCAACAACAGCCAAAAATAGCTCGTCTCAGAAAGCGTAAGCCCCCATGTTCTCATAAAGAGTTTTTCTCTTTGTTTGTCTCATTTCCAAAGAGGTATATTTTTGATGGCATTATTGATCTTCTCCAGACACCAGCACCACTGAAAATTAATATTTTGTTTGCTGGGCATAACTTTAATCATTGCAGGGTGTAATTTCTGGCACATGTGAACTTGAAAAAATAATAATAATATTGCTAAAAATGGCTCATATGGTGGGTGCAGTGTCACAATCCAATATAGCATACAAAATCCTGTATTCCTCCCAAAACCACTGCAACAAGGAGCATGCATGATTCTCTACGTTACACTTTAGGACCTTGGGTAACGCCTTGGCTTAATTTTCAACGTTCCTTCCACTTCCCCTTTTCCTCTTACCTTCACTCTTTTGCCTGGATGAAATAAAAGCACAGGCACTCACAGCACTATTGCAAGGCAGGTGTTTCCAAAATACAAATATGAACAATGCTTTTAAAAACACAAAGAAGAATGATCTATTTAAAGGAAAGCAATAACAATATCTGAGATAATACGGGGCAGGGGTTAGAAAATCTATTTCTCTAATATAATGGAAGCATATCTGGAGCTAATTTTTATTTTCAACCTGAATTTATAAATGTGTAATGGATTGATGGGATAAAAGAAATGGCAACTGGTTCCAGTTAAACAAATCTTTGACTGTTTTAAAAAGAGAAATATAGAGTATAAGCGTTGGCAAAATTTTGTTATATGCCTCAGCACTTGATGAAAACTGCAAGGGTTTGCAGTGAAATACCAGCAAACAAAACAAAGAGAGAATTAGCAAAGAAGACGACCCTTTATAATAACGCTGTGTACTCCTTAAGCCGTAACGATATGAACCCTGAAAATTTCCATTACTGACGACAAAAAGCCGACTTTTTGCTATTACAAAGCCAAATATATTTAAAAA